GATGAAAAAAAATGAAAAAAAAAAAAACTTCAGCGTCAGCAAACCTGGGACCAATCTTTAAAGATGGACGAGAGGATGGGAATCAGGAAGTCTTTGCTGTGCTATTATGTGTCTAGAACACTAAAGGGGTATATATACTGTAAGAAGGTTGTAGATCACTGATGGCATCCTACTAGACCATCACAGAGCACTAGTTAGGGAGGGCCACATGGTTGGATTTATGCATAGCCAATATAGGCTGTGGCCTGGGGCAGCACACAGCCATCAGCATATCAGACTGTTGGTAACATATTTCTGTCTTATAGGACTGACGGCACAATGTACTTGGATCCTCATTGTTCCTGGACAGACTGTAGACTGGTACTCTTTGTAATTATATTTTACTTACTTTGAGTTCAGACTGCTGGCAGAACAGGGTTACAGTTCATCCTAGATGCCTAAGAGGCAGTTTTAGGTGGGGTGACACTAAGTGGATAAACTGTTCCTTTAAGCCCCTCCACCACCAGTCACAGTGTGTCTTATGTGGATATGATATCCTTTCTTGTTAATGTGACACTAAAGCTAGGTTGTTGACTGGAGTAGGAGTTGGGTGGCACAACACAGTCGACCCAGGGCAGCAGAGATTATAGATCTGACATTGACAGCATGGGGCACAGGGCACTGTCTTTGGTGGAAAAGCAGGTGCATTATGGTATGGTGAATACTTTTGGAGGTACAAATTGAAGGGACTTGTCCTATTTTTTTTTTTTTACTATGACTTATTCCTACATGTTAAATTATACCCACATAGCAACACTCAGTTCATAAAGTCATGCTCACAATGCATCAATGTCAAAAGAGCTGACTGCATACCTAAAACTTTCCCTCCAAGTTGATACATCTGCACAGCCAGGCAACACACATTTCTCAGACTTGCATTCAGAGTCAGTAAACAGTCCTGGAACTTGGTTTTATGTTTTATTGAGGGGTGTTGAACTTGGATGGGGTAAGGGTTGTATGGGATGCCCAATGGAACTGCAAACCAAGGACAAACTCCTTAGCAACTATGAACAAGTCTTTTCACAGCAGAAACTCTTCTTGGAGAGCATACCAGCCTCTCTTGGTGTACCTCCCCAGACCCCAGATAATCCTCTTCTTATGCAGCTGTCTGAGGAAATTCCTAGGCAAGGGGATCCAGTGTCTGCCACTCCAAGATGAAACAGTCCCGGGTAATGAGCTAATCAGGTTTAGGATTTCAATTTAGGTAGGTGGCTGCCTTCAGGCTTTCTGCTCATCTGGCTCCTTTCTTAGCTCTAAAGGGAGTCCTCACTCTGGGAGGCGGTGAGGCTTAGTGATCCTCCTTTCCTGCTACCTGCCTGCGGGTAGGCCCCTTCCCACTGGGCCCCCTCCCAGGCTCCTGCACCTTAGCTTCTTCTCATCTTCCACACGAACTCTCCTGCTGTTAAGCAGGCTCAGTCATACTTAAGGGCTGCTCTGGTCCTATGCCAAGCCTCCTGCTTGGGGATTGGCCAGAGTCCCTTGAGTAGGTGGACCAGCCCCTCCTCACCCTCACCAACTGCTTCTAGAATCTTCTCCAAGATTCTAGAGAAGGGGGAGGTATCAAGGAATTGATCTGCAGAGCCTCTCAGCCCTGACCAAAATTTGACACAGCTGGCTATTGCCCAGGCTGCTACTCAGCCCTTCTAACCGAAGAGGGTGCTACATGTGTAAGAGGGGTGCAAGAGGTACATTGATGAGCGGTGCAGAGATGAGCAGTGTAAGAGGGATAATAAGGTGAGTAGTGTAAGAAGGGTGCAAGAAATGATCAGTGTAAGAGGGGTGCAAGAGGTGCAGAGGTGAGCAGTGGTGAAAGAGGGGTAAAGAGTGGTAGACAAGAGGTGCAGAGGTGAGCAGTGGTGAAAGAGGGGTAAAGAGTGGTAGACAAGAGGTGCAGAGGTGAGCAGTGGTGAAGGAGGGGTATAGAGGTAAGTGGTAGACTGGGGCGGACTGACAACTCATGGGGCCCCCGGGCAATAGGGGATCATGCGGCCCCTGTGTCCTTGCCCAAACTCAAAAAAGCCTATGAAAAAGGTACCAGGGGGATTTCATGGGGCCCCCTACTGACCCGGGGCCCTCAGGCAGTGCCCAAGTTTCCAAATGGTCAGTCCGCCCCTGGTGGTAGATAAGAGGTGCAGAGGTGAGCAGTTGTGAAAGAGGGGTATAGAGTAGTAGACAAGAGGTGCAGAGGTGAGCAGTGGTGAAAGAGGGGTATAGAGTGGTAGACAAGAGGTGCAGAGGTGAAAGAGGGGTATAGAGTGGTAGACAAGAAAGAGGTACAGAGGTGAGCAGTGGTGAAAGAGGGGTATAGAGGTAAGTGATAGATAAGAGGTGAGTGGTGGAGTCCCTGACTATTATAATGAAGCTCTTCTTTTGGTAGGAGCATGGGGGCATCGCATGTGGTGTGACAATTTAATTCCTAGAATGAACTGTAAAAAATATATATACAGTATATATTTGCTTACCTATACACTAGCAACTATTGTTACCTTCAAAGTAGCCCCCTTATGAAGCAACACACTTTTCTAGACAACTGTGCCACCAGCAGAAACAAACAGTACCTTGAATTCTTTTTCTGAAACACGGCACAGTACCTTTGTCGTGGCGCACGGGATATCAAGAATGTCATGAAATCTGTGTCCTTTTTTAATTTTGGAAACAGCCAAAAGTTGCAGGGTGCTAAATCAGGGGAATAAGGTAGTTGGTCAAGTTTTGGAATGGATTTCTGGGCCAGGAATTCGTGAACACTTAACACATCACTGCAAGAGCATTGTCGTGGTGAAGAATCCACTTGTCAGGTCAGAGTTCCGGTCTTTTCCTCCAAACTGATTCCTGTAACCTTTTCATTTTCTACATTTGCATCTGTCCTTTGCGTTTCTGGCTGCCCACTTTTTGCATCATTGTGGACATCTTTTCCTGCTCCTCCTTAAACTGCATATGCCATTCAAAAACACTTGATTTCTTCATGGAATGCTCACCATAAGCCTGTTGTAGGAGAGCTGAAGTTTCACTCGCACCTTTGCCAGTTTTTATGCACAATTTGATGTTGATCCGCTGCTCCAGATTCTGCCAACAGCACAACGCACACACGTGTTATTTTCTTCTACTACTCCGTAAAGTCAGCTGGTCCGCGACTCAAGTGAGTGGAAGTTAGAACATGTCAGAACACACTGGAGTGCGAATGGCTGTGTGACTCACCACCATAGTGCTACACCGCTGGCATTCTGGGAATTAAATTGTCCTTGAAGGGGTACCCCAGGTCTTTTACTGGAATGACACTCATGAATCTATGCTCTCTTTTAAATAATACTTATTGTTTTATTAATAATACTTTATTTCAACTTACCGCTTTCCAATGATAAAAAATAAGAACTAGACTTGAAACTTGAATGGAAACTGTGTTTATTTTATTTTACAATAGGGTGACCAGATGTCACCAGTTACTGAGGACAGTCCCGGCATAAAAAAGGTCCCCAATTTCGTCCCCAGCTAATAGAAAGTGTCCCCGATTTCCTTCCAGCTTTAATAATGGCATCTCTAGCCATTTTAGCAACATTTCTGTTATTGGTCTGGAGCAGGAGGAGCAGTAATTTCCATATTACGCGGTTTTCCCAGTTCCTACCCTCTCAGCTTGTGCAGACTTTGTTGTGGGAGGAAAGGATGTGGATTATTTGCTGCCTTGCTTGTGATGGTGACCTGCAGCGCTCACCTGGGCCTGCACTCTTGACCTAGAGAAAATTAGGCTCAGGCGTTATTAAACTGTGCCTCTTTAAGGCTGGCCATACATGGGTCGACAATCAACCAATTTTTTCATCTGAAAATCGGGCCTAAGAATAATCGGCCGATTTTTGCTCTGTTAGTGGGTCAATGGCACCGGCCGCTTTTCGTGGTTCCTCCCCTTTTTGGTGATCGGGCATGATGGAAAATTTGTGAAAAACTATAGATTTTTGACTCAATGATGGTCAAATCAGACTATCGTTTTTCCATGAGCTGTGACCTAGAAGGAACAGAAGTTTTGCATGTTATATGGGGTGAAATGTATGACTCGGTCAGCCGATTTTCGAAATCAATGATCGCACCATTGGATTAGCAAGCAAACAACGTTTCCGATTTTCGGCCGAAAAATCGTTCGGAATTTTAACCATGTATGGCCTGCATAAGCCCCTTCCAGTATTAGCACAATTTGGCCACACCCAACAGTTGGTGTGGCACACTTTTCATTCCACTATTATCCCTGCCCCTTTCTCCACCCCTGACCCACCCCCAATTCAAAGTGGGTGTGGTCAGTAGGGTGTCCACACACAGTGTGCAGGATGCCAGGGAAAGGTCCTCTATGGGAGATAAGTGTCTCTGTTATTTGGGTGGTGGTCCCTTTATTGGGAATCACAAAAGACGTAGTTTAGAGTACTCAGGGATTCTCACTTGTGCAGGATGAGGGATTTCGTGGTGATCCAGTAAACAGAAAACTGTTTTCGCGGGATTATTAAGTTTTGATATAAGGCTTGAGATTTGGAGGCTCAAAGAGATCTTGGGTGGGAAAGAATCTTCAATCCTGCTTACGGGTACCTGAAGCGGTAAACCCACATGCAAGACAGGGCTGAAACGGTCGGGAAGTATAACAACTGCTATCTAGAAGACTGTGTCAATGCTGCAGTCTATTTGTCGTTTTGTATATGACTTCTGGAACCCTGGAGCAGGCGGGGACTTTAAACCTTGTTGTGGGACAAACTTATGTGGGCGGTGAGCCAGAGCTTTGTTTTTGTACCAGAGTTACGGACTGTCTTGTTTATTTTAATGCTGAAGATAAGCTACTCGGTTTGCCTTTTTTGAAGAAAAAAAAACCTCTTTGTTTTAACAAAGATGGCTTCCTAGCGATCCAGACCCGCAGAGTATTACATCAGCCATTGTTATTTGTCTTTATATGGAATTGCTGACACTTTGGTAATAAATCTTTTCTTTGATTCTGGTATGGTAGCCACTCTCTTATTGGATAGTGCTTTCCAATGCATGGTCATCATCCTGTCCAGCTGTGTTACGGCAGTGCGCTCACAGTGCAGTCTCCTATATGGGTGATAGCAGGGGCGGACTGACAACTCATGGGGCCCCCGGGCAATAGGGGATCATGGGGCCCCTGTGTCCTTGCCCAAACTCAAAAAGGCCTATGAAAAAGGTACCAGGGGTATCTCATGGGGCTCCCTACTGACCCCGGGCCCTCGAGCAGTGCCCGAGTTTCCAAATGGTCAGTCTGCCCCTGGGTGATAGTATACAACAAATGTGACATACAGAGTTGAATGGGCCTTTTATTTCAGTGAAGGTTTGGGTGCATTACACACTATGTAAGCTGATTGTACTAGTAGCATCTTTGCACTAAACCACTTTTTGTTTTAGATTACTTTGAAAATCTGTAAAATGTATATTTAGAGGGTTCTTCTAATGGATATTATTCAGATCCTCTCTATTAGGGTATAGTGTGTAGAGAACGAGCTGTCCTCTGTTCTAGGCCATTTTCTCTTCTGTGTTAGCGTGACTAGCTCACTATCACGAAGAGCTGAGATCAGCAGTAAACACAGTGGAAGGCCACATGAGAGGGAGATGGACTAAGGGAAAATGTAGTTAAAAGCATTTGCAAGGATCTAAGATGGCAAAGCAACAGGAGTATTAGGAGGCAAATGTGCAAATGGTAACTGTCATGCTGAGATGCCCAGCCACAGTATGACCGTGTTTATTATGTAACTGAACCTTTAGTGCATGTACAGCCCTGGGTCAGAAAATTGGGGTTTTCATGCACAATGTCATGCTGGTTCAGGTGAGTAGAAGACAGATGGGGAGACTGGGGATGGGAAAAGGTACAATATACAGTCAGTATAATCTCAAGTGTGCAGGTATACTTTAACAATTGCTTGTCTTTCCCTATCATTGCAGCAAAGAGATCATCATGTTTCCTCTTCTCCACTCCCTTCCACTCTCCTCTCCCATTTTCCCATTCCTTCTCTCCGCTCACCAACTACATTGATCTCCCCTCCTCTGTTCTCTCTTCTCCTCTGCTTTCCTCTCCTCTCCTATGCTCTTGATCTTGCTCCTTTCCTCTGCTCATCTACACTTATCTCCTCTCCTCTGCTCCCTTCTCTCCTCTCTGTTGCTTTCGTACTCTCTTCTCTCCCATGCTCAATCCTTCTATCCTCTGTTCACCTACACTTATCTCCATTTCTCTTCTACTTCCTCTCCTCCTCTGCTTTCTTCTACTCTCCTTTCCCATGCTGTCCCTTTTCTTCTCTTCTCCAATACACTTATCTCTACTCCTCTTTTCTCTCTTTTTTTGCTGATTTCTTACACTCTCCTTTCCCATGTTCTCATTCCTTCTCTCCTCTGTTCACCTACACTTATCTCCATTCCTCTTCAACCTCCTCTACTCTGCTTTCTTCTGCTCTCCTTTCTAATACTCTCATTCCTTCTCTCCTCTGTTCACCTACACTTATCTCTATTCCTCTCCTCTCCTCTGCTTTCTTCTACTCTCCTTTCCCATGCTCTCATTCCTTTTCTTCTTCAGTACACTTATCTCCACTCCTCTGTTCTATTCTCCCTTTTTTTGCTCTCCTCTGCTCACCTACACTTACCTCCATTCCTCTTCTACCTCTCTCTCCTCTGCTTTCTTCTACTCTCCTTTCCCATGCTCTCGTTCCTTTTCTTCTCCAATATACTTATCTCCACTCCCGTGTTCTGTTCTCCCTTTTTTTGCTGCTTTCTTACCAGGGCCGGACTGACAACTCATGGGGCCCCCTGGGCAATAGAGGATCATGGGGCCCCTGTGTCCTTGCCCAAACTCAAAAAAGCCTATAAAAAAGGTACCAGGGGCATCTCATGAGGCCCCCTACTGACCCAGGGCCCTCGGGCAGTGCCCGAGTTTCCAAATGGTCAGTCAGTTCCTGTTTCTTAAACTCTCCTTTCCCATGCTCTCATTCCTTCTCTCCCCTGCTCACCTACACCTATCGCCCCTCCTCTGCTACCTTTTCTCTTCTCTGCTGCTTTCTTACACTATCCCATGTTCTCGTTCCTTTCTCCTTTGCTCACCTACACTTATCTTCATTCCTCTTCTACCTCCCCTCCTCTGCTTCCCTCCACTATCCTCTCCCATGTTCTTTTAACTTTTCTCCTCTGCTCACCTACATTAACTGTCCTCTGCTGCCTTCTCTCCTCTTCACAGCTTTCTTACACTTTCCTCTTCTATGTTCTCATTCCTTCTCTCCTCTGCTCACCTACACTTATCTTCTTCTACCTGCTCTCCTCTTCTTTCTTCCACTTTCCTCTCCCATGCTCTTGTTCCTTCTGTCCTCTCCTCACCTACATTTCTCTCCCCTCCTCTGCTCCCTTCTCTTCTCTGCTTTTACTCCACTCTCCCATGCTCTCCTTTTTCTCTGATCTACTCACCTATACTTGTCTCCACTCCTCTGCTCCCTGCTTTCCTCCACTCTCCTCTCCAATTTCATGCCTCCCTCTCCTCTGATCTCCTTTCCATCCTTCCTACTATTTCCTCTCCTCCTCCCTCTCCATTTTTCTTTCTTTTCTTCCTCTCCTTTCCACACTTTCACTCCATTCCAACCTTCTCTCCCCCTCAGCCATTACCTCTTGTCCTCAACACTCCTCTCTCCCCCAACTTCCCTTTGTCTCCTCTTTCTTCCCTCTCCCTTTCCCAAATATCCCTGTCTCTTTTTTCACTATACCATACACTCCTCTTCAGCATTCTTCCCCATGCCATAATTCTGCTGCCTATATTTTCCCCATAACTGTTTTCTAGAACCTTCTCTCCCAATTTTTGTCTCTATTTATCTCAAATCTTTGTTTTACAAATTAATTTTTACTATAGAGCACACCCATGATGCAGGAATCCCAGGGTAGTAGAAATTTTATGAACCGATAGCACAGCAGGAACTGTTTACTTTCACATTCTCTCTCTTTAATTCAAACTCTGTATCCCTGTACAACCAGGCAGGGAGGGGAAGGAAGGGGAGATGAGTTGCTCCTTCGAATCATTTATGTTGCTGAGCTTTGTGCTTGTGTTGATGGCATCAGTCTGGGAGACTTCTGAGAACAATCAGAATTTATTAGGAGGTGCATTTGACCTGCAGTTGTCCTCTGTCTGGTCTGCGTTTCATCTACTTCGGGTGGGTTGTGGATTCCTGTAGATTTGTATAGCAGAGAACAGAATCACACAGAGATGATACCGTCAGTCTGCTGTTTCTCCGTCACTGTCCAATTACAGGGTGGGGGCATTAGAAGACTTATAAGTGAAAGATTAGGTCTGCTTCCCTGCCAGACAGCACTGTGAGGTGTGGCAGAGCTGTGTAAATCACAGGACTGGCTGGACAGAAATACAATACAGTAAACCAGCTCCCATATATGTATTTCATCTGTGGATTTATGTGTTTGCCTGGAGTTCACCTTTAGGGCTCTTTCACGTGTGGAGCCCTTCCGATGCATGTTTGGGTTGCTGAGAGCATTTTGACGGTGTGGAGGTGTTATATTTCATTCTGTAATGCTGCAGTACCGCACAGCAATTCTTTGTATTGTACGCAGTCGTATTGAACTCAACGGGCAAGTTTTGACAGGCGATGCCGCACCCTGAGTTAAAAATGCTGTCCAGCTGTATTGTGGCAGTTTGGTTGGACTGTAGGGGCGGATAGTAAAACCGTGGCTCATCCTTTTTTCCTGCCTGTCTGAAAGAGCCCTTTAGCAGAGTAAAGGGTTTGTTTACATGCATGCATCCACTGCATGCTTCTGCATGTGCGTTTACATGCATTTGCAGTACCTTTTTAGAATTTTTTTCAAATGTATTTAAATTTTTTTTCTAAGTTGCACTTATATACGATTGTGGTATATTTTTGTGCATTTTGTCACATTAACATGTGTTTGCAGTGCGTTTCAGTGCAGAGAAATGCAGCATGCTGTACTTTTTTTTAAACACACATGAAAGCACTGCAATGGTGTAACCTAGACTAATTGAAATACATTTGTCTTGCAAATGGATCCGCACTGCACTCACACTGCATTTAACATTGCACCTGACTGCATCTAGTGTATACAAGCCCTGAAGCTTCAGATTTGTGGAGCAGCAGGTTCCAGTTTGAGTTGCCTCTGCAGCAGGGGAGCGAAGCCCCTGTATTAGAGGTCCTCCTATTGCTGTTATTACATAGGGCATATATATATCTCAGAGATGTCAATTCCCCATTAGGACTGGAAGGCAGTCCGATCAGGAAGAGAACATTGATTGCGACAGATGCAATGGCAAGATATAACAGGAAGACAATCCCGTGTTGGATCTCAGATCAGAACGTCTCTGAAGAGCGGTGGCCATCCGCACTCCCAGGTGATGTCAGAGGCAGATAGAAGAAAAATGGCGGCGCAGTGGGTTGATTAATGGTTGTGCGCACGGTTCACTAGAGTCTTTATGAAGGACTGAATAGGTTGTTCTTGTACATTGTGTCTTTCCATAACTCAGCTGTTTTCCCCATGTCAGTTCAGCACAAATGAGCTGCGACTTATGGGAATGAATTGTCAGGCAAAGCATGGCTGCCAGTTAACATGCTTTTAAAGCACTCCACCATAATATTACTTTATCGTTATTTGGTGGAAAGTAGAAGCATCTGATGGATGATACGGCTGTAAACGACCCGCTGGGATTGGTTCGTCAATGCAGCGATCACAGAATGAGCACCTCTAATTGGCTGGAGCAATGGAAAAAATTTGATTGGCTGTTTTTTTTCTTTTCATTTTTTTTGTTTTTTTTTTAATTCCTTCCCCGTCTATGGCACAGCTGACATGGAGCGCTAACTGGAATATCCATTATTTAAACAACATTGGTTGCAGAGGAGCAAATATGAGTTTCAGCCCTGGACTGGAAAGAGGCAGAGGAATGCAATTCAATACAAACGCGGCTCAGAATAACAACTCCGACAGAAAACTGTGCAGAATAACAACCCAGATTTAACCTTTTCACTGCTGGGGGATCCTGCATAGCATTTCATTTCACACCTCCATAGATAAAAAAAAACTCCACTAGTCAGGGTTGGAAGGAAAATCACTATATTACAGAATGCATTCACCAAAAATAATAAGATAAAAATGAATAGGTCAATAAAAATATAATAGGAAAACCAGCTTGTGCTGTTTCAATCAAGAGATTCAGCTTCAATCAAGAGATTCACCCTGCAGTACCTTTTTATGTCAATAGATGTCCTCAGTCTTATGGCCAGCATCACTCAACCCGCTACCTCTGAGCTTTGGTTGTCCTGGACCCGCCCCCTGCCTGTGACTGGACAGTGAAAAAAGAAACAACGCAGTGATAATCTCATTGTTTTCTCATTCTCCTTTCTCCTATCAGCATGCTTCTTGTCCACTGGCTAATGTTGATATGGAAAATGATTACAGACAAAATTCAGATACTAAGGCATTAGTATCTATTTAGTATCAAATATTACTCCCCCTTGTACCCATCATTGGTATTAGGGGGAGTAATCGTGTCCATTGTTGGTATCAGTGGGAGGAATAGTGGCCCATCATTGGTATAAATGGGAGAATTAGTGCCCCATCATTGGAGTCAGTGGTAGGAATAGTACCCCATCATTGGTATCAGTGGGAGGAATAGTGCCCCATCATTGGTATCAGTGGGAGGAATAGTGCCCCATCATTGGTATCAGGAATAGTGCCCCATCATTGGTATCAGTGGGAGGAATAGTGCCCCATCATTGGTGTCAGTGGGAGGGAATAGTACCCCATCATTGGTATCAGTGGGAGGAATAGTGCCCCATCATTGGTATCAGTGGGAGGAATAGTGCCCCATCATTGGTATCAGTGGGAGGAATAGTACCCCATCAAAGGTGTCAGTGGGAGGAATAGTGCCCCATCATTGGCATCAGTGGGAGGAATAGTGCCCCGTTGTCAGTGGCAGGAACTATGCTCCACTGTTACTGACAGTGGGGGGGGGGAGGGAATAATGCCCCACGGGCTGGATAAAGGCAAGCAAAGGGCCACATTCGGCCCCACAGTTTGGAGACCACTTCATTAGAGGAATTGAATGTATTTTTAAATGCAATGAGTGTACCTGTTTGTCTTAATAGTAGCAACCTGCCACCTCCTGCACACCAGCATTCAGAGGGAGAGTGGAGGGATCACAGCTAGTAGTCAATCCGCTTCTGCTTCATGCACATGTGCAGACAAGGAACATGCTGACAGGAGGAGAGAGCAGAGCGATGGATTATCCTTTTACTGCTGATCCTGCATTCTCCAATCTGTAGGCCTGGGTGTGTTTTTCACCAAGCCGTGTTGCCGCTGTAGTAGAGTTCAAGGAACTGACTTTATTCTCTTTTGAGAAGAGGAGATTAAAGGGGGATCTGATCAACATGTATAAATACATGGTGGTTCATATAGTGAACTCGGTGTAGAGCTATTCACCCTGAGGTCATCACAGAGGACAAGGGGGCACTCTTCACATCTGGAGGAAAACAAATTTAATCTCCAAACATGGAAAGGTTTCTTCACAGTAAGAGCTGTGAAAATGTGGAATAGACTCCCTCAAGAGTTGGTTCTGGCCAGCTCAGTGGATTGCTTTAAAAAAAGGCCTGGATTATTTCTTAGTTACATGGAATGTAACTGGATACTAACATTTCGTGATGATTCAATCCAGCTTCCTTACCACATGCTATGGGTGTACTGCATGGGTAATACAACAGGGTGTTCCAATATGGCCCCCATGCCGGAAATGACGTCACCGCGTTAACAGAAGCTCCTCCCAACGTACCGACGCGTTGCGTCACGCTCAGCACGTGACTTCATTTTTTTTCCGTTAAAGGATTGGCACATGTGAATCATGCACACTGCACATTATTTTTTTGCATGAAGAGTGGAGTGTGAAGACCACCACAAAGTATTGCATTATTTTTTATCAATTGTTTGGACTTTTTTTTGCAACTGAATATTGGTTCACTTTATTTTGAGCACTGTACTTTTCTTGCCACTATATTGTTTTATGATTATATGTGTCACTAATATACAATTCTTGATTATTTTGGATATATACTCTTAGGGGGTGTATATCGAGTTTATTTATTGTATCACTTATTCACTAGATACTTATATATTTATTATTGATTAGCGCTGCACTGTTTATTTAATTGATCATTCACTTATTTTGGGTATAAGTTTAGTGCCAGCAGCTTTATTTAAGGTTAGGATTCCATGTAAGCGCAGGAGTTATTTTGAAATACAGAATATAACTGGATACTAACATTTATAGGTAAAGTTGATCCAGGGAATATCCGATTGCCTCTCAGGGGATCAGGAAGGAATTTTTTCCCTGCAGGAGCAAACTGGATCATGCTTTGCTGGGGGTTTTTTTTTGCCTTCCTCTGGATCAGCTGTGGGTATAGGATTATACCTTTTTTTTTTTTTTTTTTTTTTTTTTTTTTAATGGTTGAACTAGATGGACTTTTGTTTATTTTTCATCCAGGCTAACTATGTAACTATGTAACTCCAGCATTCCTAAAGAATAGGGAAAGTATATTTTTAAAATTCTAATTATGTTTAGTACTAAAAAAAAATAAAAAGTTTTTCATATAAATGGCATTTATTCCTAAAGCATATTTAATATTTACTACTTACAGGTGGCCTGCAGCAGCTTTCTCTAGCTCATTCTAGCACGCCTCTATGCAATAGACCAGAATGGCAGGGAGATCAGATTACACAAACTGCAAAGTGTGTCATTGATGGACTTCTAACCACCCTCTCCCCTGACATAGACATGACAGCCCAGTCCTATCAGGTAGACAGTATAGGACTTTCTTTTTGGAGGGTCATGCATACTTTGCAAGACAAGCATTATGCACGGACGGCATATTAACCCTTTTCCATCCATCCCTGGCATCCCTTTAAGCGGCTCTATACACATGACCACTGTCATTGGCTGTCACAGAGGACACATGATTGGCAGCCCGTCCCACCAGCTCTCAATTACAGGAGACTATGAGCTAAGGCGCCTGGAGGGCGCTGCCACAATAGAAACCATTTGGCGCGTAGTTACTGTCTTTGCTGCTGCACATATGTATTGCTTGGAACTCTTAAATCCTGCAGCAATTAAAGGTCTTGTCCCTCCCCCATCCTGTGAATGGACAGTGAAAGGAGAAGCAGCAGACCAATGAGCTCATCTCTCTGTCACTCTTTTCCTCCTATCAGCATATCCCTTGTTAGCACATGAGCACTGCAGCTCAACTGACTGGCCTTTTGTGCTGCCTCTTCCTTTCCCAGTCTGAGTGCGGTTGTACAGGGGATTAATAGAGGCTGATATCAGGTCAGATTCAGGTGCTTACACTGCTAAAATCTACAAACTCACATAATGAAGTATCTGCCCAGATTCGAGCCGTAACTATAATATCTCTTTGCTAATCCTGCACACATGACATCATCTCCGGATTGGGGACTGGGTGGGTCCCTGGAGCACTTGCTGTGCAGAAAAACATTTGCTATAAAAGTCTGATGAAGTGATGGAGCTGAGTGAAGAGGAGATGAGGAAAGAAAAATAGAAAACACGTCATTGAGTGACTTGGCCACGAGAATCATCTCTTCCGCTCAGTCTGTCTGCAAACCTCTTCATTCAGAGAGTCCAGGCGTCTGTCTCTGAGGAACCAATAAACCCCAAACCTAAGCTTTGTCATAGAAATATGGCCATAAAAATAAATCTATACTGAAGTTTATTCTGCTCATAATTTGCCTTTCCTAGTCCCCCCACCCACCCTTGTTAACATGCTTCTTAAAGTGTTCCTAAACCCAGGACCCCGCATTTACTATATCTGGTCTCCCGGGACCCTGCATTCACTATATCTGGTCTCCCCGGACCCTGCATCCACTATATCTGGTCTCCCAAGACCCTGCATTCACTATATCTGGTCTCCCTGGACCCTGCATTCACTATATCTGGTCTCCCCGGACCCTGCATCCACTATATCTGGTCTCCCTGGACCCTGCATTCACTATATCTGGTCTCCCCGGACCCTGCATTCACTATATCTGGTCTCCCCGGACCCTGCATTCACTATATCTGGTCTCCCCGGACCCTGCATTCACTATATCTGGTCTCCCACAGTACTCACAAAATGGAAATGCAATTATTTTAGTAAATATAAACTGTTAAATACCTTTTCTCATCAGCAGTTAGAGCAGTCTTGTGACTTCTATTAGCATCCAGCAGAGTACATGTTAAAGCTTGTAGGAGGAGTTTTCTTTCTGCTCTAGGAGGATGCAGATCCCCTGACCCTCTGTCTGGACAGCACTGTTTGGCCCCGTGCTGATCACATGCACACTCCCAAGAAAAAAAAAAAAACCTCTCTAGCAATACACTCAAAATTGAGCATGTGCAGAATGGCTACAGTTCAGTCTCTCTTATCAGGAGATAAGACGTGGACATTAGAACAAGAGGAGGAGCAAGAAGTCAGGATCAAATGGCCTTTTTACGCAATGCAGAGGATTAACCCTTAGGTTCCACAGTGAGTATAACAAGCATGCTTTACTGCATATACAGTCTGATTTTACTGTTGTGGGTTTAGTAACACTTTACATTTGGAATTAAATCCTTTCTGTATTTATTACGTATCTTTTATATTCATTGCATATCTTGTTTTGGATGTTATCACTGGGTCTGTGTGCTTCTCTATGCAAAGTGGGGGAGGGGGGTCTGCAGGGTGCTGTATCTAGTTTCTTGAAAACATCACAGCACCTTGCCTGTGCAATCGTCTTAAGAGCCCTCAGTCCTGATGCAAGCAGTGACTGGCCCTTAGGCATCTTTCACACAGGTGATCACAGTTCACATGGACAGAGTGCACAAAGGTGTTTTGGGTGACGTTATTCTGTAATGGTAGCCCAAAAGCAGTGCGTTTCTGCTGCACATGGCAGAATCACACGGCAATCATGGCAAAACATGCCGTTAAAAATTGCACCAAGATTGTCAGATAAAAAGGAACAGAAGCTTCTTCTGGGCAACAAGCGAGCATTGAGCAGCCCATTGAAGTGAATGGGCTGCCCTAAGTGCGACACACATTCCCGCCTGCAAATCACACTTTAATAATTGGGAGTCTTTTTACTGCTATGTGTGGTCTGAATGGGGCCTAAAACCAACTTGGAAGATTAGAAATATGGAAGGTGTCACTGCTGACTAGACCTTGATGTCATCAACTGGTGCTCATCCTCTAGCTGCTGCCCAGCAGAGCTAGGTCCCTCTACAGGGGTCTCCTCTAGCAGGTTGGCCCCTAGGATGATACCTTACACCACCATACTGCAGACTCCCCCTGCCACTCAGGCCTCAGACTATTTATGTGCTCTCCCCCCGCCTACTGGGCACACCTCTCCAGACTGCAGCCTCTGCTCTCCCTCCCACTATCTCCTAGAGCAGTGGTTCTCAACCTGTGGGTCGCGACCCCTTTGGGGGTCGAAAGACCCTTTCACAGGGGTCGCCTAAGACAATCGGAAAACACATATTTCCGATGTGTAAAGCAGAGCAGCTACTGTGTTAGAAAGCAGCTACTGTGTTGAAAGCAGCTACAGTGTTGAAAGCAGCTACAGTGTTGAAAGCAGCAGTATTGAAGGTAAAACGACACTTCATAAATTATAATTACTGGGTAAATAATTTTGTGGTTGGGGGTCACCACAACATGAGGAACTGTATTAAAGGGTCGCGGCTTTAGGAAGGTTGAGAACCACTGTTCTAGAGGGCAGTAGCAGAGCAGCAGCCTGTAAAAACCTGAGCAGCCCTAACCCCTGCTCCACTGATTACAATGAAGCCCAACTAAATCTACCTAGCAACCTTCCCTAAACATAGGAGGGTGCTACATCAATTTATTCTGGCCATTGGAATGTATTAATGCTCAAGTGCTAAACACGCATAGCGTTTAGGCATGTTTACAGGCATTTAAATGCAGTCTGCGTTTTTCCCTCTGAAAATGCTCCTCTCCTGAACACGTAAGTGATGTTAATTTTTTTTTCTGCCTGTAAACTCTGTGTGCATGGACACATGGGCTATATCACAGGGGGTTTTTAGAGGCAGAGAAAATAAACATCAAATGCCTGTAAACGCAGTGTGCATGAGGCCTAAAGGTGAAGGTATCAGGGCTGCCATCCCGATCATGGCTTTACTACTTAGCAGGTCATTGATCTGAGACGGTTTTGTAGGATAATAGTTCAGGATTTTCAGACACTGGCTGCATGCTTGCTTCATGTCACTGGCTAATAATAATGAAATGAGGATACAACTATCATGGAACTTGCACCTCTAGGGACAAGTCAGCAATGGTAGATCATTATTTAAGGCTACACTCACACGGGATTTTAGTTGCAGCCTGTTAGAAATTCTGTATATAGCCCTACAGAAAAAACAGTGCACAGTCCACATGTGCTCTTTTGCTTGCTTCACTGCAACCAGGAAAAGGGAAAAAAACATATCATAGAGTATATCATAGATGCAGCTACAAACTTATAAACACTGCCATCTACTGGTTGAAGAATATATCTCTACTGAACACTGATGTAGTTGTTGCACTGAATACATGTGTCAGGGATGCAGGTGTGACCAGAAGTGTGTGGACTGACACAGGGAAACGCAAGCTTTAGATATGGTATAAATAAGACAATTTATTAAGACTAACAATACAAATATAAACGCAGTGCACCAAACCCCAAGCTAACACAAATACATACAACAAGGTGAAACAAACCCAAACCTAAACTGATACAGATACCCAGGTACATACACATGTAGAGCACAACGTAGTTAGGCAGGCCGGGTCGATAACTATCGGGCAGGTCGGTACAGGAGGAGCAGGCGGAGAGAATGGTCAGGGTCACAAGCCAGGGATCAAAACAGGAGCAGTCAGCAGAGGTCAGGATCAGGCAGGGTCGGCAACAAGTCAGGTAGAAACAGGAACAGGAACAGGAATGCAGGTTACAAGATACAGGGGCCCATGGAAAAACACACACCAAGGCACAGACTGCAGGTCTGGCCATCCCTTAAATACACCTGCAATCAGCCCCAGGTGATGGCTAATTGCCGAAGTGAACCTCTGGTTGTTGAGAGCACCCGTTGGCCAGCCCTGGTACTGCAGCCCACAAGGCAGGTGAGTCCCACCACTATTGGCAAGTCCATTCCTGACAACATGAACTCTATATTCCAACTCCCCCCCCCCCTCTCAACAACTACTCGTTATATTAGTCCCATTTCAGATCTCAGTTCCATAAATCTGTTTCCATTCACTAAGAGGTGTCATCTCTTCATTAGCAGTTCTGATCCATTTTTGTTTCTCATAGGTTGGAAGTCTTTGCAACTCATCCCTTGAATCTGGCTCTGATTTTAATGCTACATGAGCAACATAGGATAGACGTTTGGCTGGTATACCTTTGTTGCTTCTGGTGAATCTCCTGATTGAAGCCTCTTGTGGCCTGGTTTCTTCTTTTACAGTACATGGATTGTCTGCGTTAAATTCTATTTCTGTGTCACTTTGTTGCTTATCTTCAGGTGACACTGATGTGGAATTTTCTTCAGTTTGAAGTGTTTGTTAGTTCATGAAATGTTTAATATACTGAAATTTCATTGACAATTATGCTTCTACTGATGGTTACCTTGTTTGTGTCTTGGTGTAGAATTCTGTATCACTTTTGAGTTTCATTGTACTCCACAAGTATACCTTCTTTTGCGGGAACATCACATTTTGTACATTTCTCTTTTGGGATGTGCACATAGGCTTTGCTTTCAAAAATTTTAAGATGGTTCAAATTCGGGGCTATTCCATTCCACAGTTCATATGGAGCTTTCTCGGTTGATTTTCCTGGTAGCCAACTTTGAAGATAGCATGCAGTCAAAATTGCTTCCCCCCAGTATGCGGCTGGCATATCTGCATCAAACAGCATGGTTCTTCCACTCTCACGTGGAGTACGGTTCATTCTTTCTGCAACCACATTTTGTTCTGGATTGTATTGTACAGTAGTTTGAAATATTATGCCATGCTTTCTGAGAATTGCCTGTGTGTTATCATTTATATATTCAGTTCCATTGCCTGTGTGCAATACACTCGGCATTTTACCAAATTTGTTGCTTACTTGAGCCAATACGGTTCAAGTTTCTTCGGTACTTCAGTTTTGTTGTGTAGTATATAGTGTTTGTTATAGTGTAGTATACCTGGACTAATCATCTATAAAGGTAAGAAAATACCTCTTCTTTCCTGGAGTAAATGTTTCCATTGGACCCCAAAAATCTGAATGAATTAAGTCCAAAAGTTTCTTAGCTCTTCTGTTACTCTGGTTTGCAAAGGTTTTTCTTGTCATTTTTTTCTCTCATGCAGCTGGTGCATTTCATTGTTTGATCACATGGACACATTTTTATTCCACTTGCATAGTCATTCTCAGTTAATTTCTTTGTTATATCAGGACTTCTGTGCCCAAGTCGTCTGTGCCATATGTGGATGCAGTAATTTTAGCCTTTGCAAGTAAGATATCCCCTTGTGAAGGTACAACTGTCACCTTGGAAGGTCACTACATTGCCTTGTTGTATGAGCTTATTTACTGACAAAAGATTACTTTCAAGAACAGGGACAAACAGGACATTTTTCACAGGTAACTTTCTGGTGGCATTCTGGGAAATAGGACAGTAAAGAAAACAGTCTCCTATTCTTCTGATTCCACTATTTGCCAATGTAGCACCCTCCTATGAAAGCTAGGAGGGGAACTAGTTAATTATTTTTTAGTTAGATGATGAATAGCAGCCTGGTGTAATAGCCAGAGGGGTCAAATTAGGGTCAAGGATGAGAGGCTCTACAGATCCCTGAAACTTCCCCATGATCTAGAGACTAGGAGAAGTCTCTAGAATTCAGTGGGCGGGGGTGAGGAGGAGCTGGGATCCTGGCTAATCCCCAAGCAGGAGGCTTGGCATGGAGTCAGGACAGCCCTTAAGAGTGGCAGAGCCTGCTCAGCAGCAAGAGAGTTCGGGTGGAAGATGGAGTGAGCAGGATGGTGTGTGGAGCCAGGGAGGGGGTCGAGGAGAGGGGCCTACCTACAGGCAGAGGAGCTAGAATGGAGGATCTCTCATCATTATCCCCTGAGAG